AGAAGTTCTATCTTGTCAGACTACTCAGGAAACTGTCAATGCCATCAGAAATTCTCCTTGAAAACTGACACTGCAGAATGTGTCAGTAGTTTCTGATGATGTCAGATGAGAAACTGCAGCAACAGCTAAGAGCAGAGTAGTGCTCCCTGGAGACGCCAACTTTGGCAAGTTGTACTGAAATGCTGCAAGAATGTTTCTGAAATTGAGATTACTGAAATGTAATACCTCTTTTTGAAAACTTTACTGCACACAATTTATCATGCCAAAGCAAAGGTTCCGGGAAGAAAAGACCATCTGTTTTTCTTTGGGCTTCTTTATTTAAGGCTCACCTTTAATCAATTTAAAGTTTTTTCATACACTGGAATGCAAGGAATTAATAACTTAAGAACTCAATAAGTGACTCAATGCTTCTCCTTGAAATACCGACTCCTCTGATTTTAATTATAATTAACTAGAGAATAACTGCCTGCTTGTAATACAGACTCATTAAATTTGATACCTTTACACTTTTAACCTACAAAGGTGGCAACAAGGACTCTGGATCTATTTGCATTCCAAGCTTTGTTCTTCACCTATCATATATACCACTTGGATCAGGATAAGCTCCCATAGACCACAACTGGGATAGTACTTGTAACAACAAAGGTTCCATACTGACAAGGTTTTCAGCAACATGGAAATTAAAGGGTAGCATTATAAACCTTATCTTACACGTAATTTTAAATAAAATGCTTGTAAAAAAAAAAAGTTCTGTTGAAAGACCAGAAAAAAATTGTGCTGAAAGCAATACAGTATATTAATTTCAAGTATTTCTCAAACTCAAAGCAAAATTACTGCCAGGTAAAAATTTATTAAAAGTTACATTTAGCCAATATATAGCAACTGCCATAATCCTATGCTTTTGACTGTTAACAATTAGTTAATATAATTAAAAGATGAAACTGAACGACAGGAGTATAGATGTTTTAATTTCCACATGTATTATACCTTCAATGATGAACATCTAAAGTATCAACTAGAGTTGCAGTGCACTGAAACTCTCCAGTTGACTTCCAAATTATCCTACCTTTATAAGCTCATAAAATAAACAAATCCTTTATACGGAAACACCAGACACAATTTAACAAAAATAAAAACTGAGAAATATCTATTAAAAGTCTATCACATAACACAGCAGGGCCATTAGAGATAAGTAGGAGAAATTCTACTCTTACTGATGAGATTCAGGGTTGTCCACTTTGGACACTGTTTTCTACTATAGCACTGCACCACCAAACTTCATACAGATTCATGAGGAAATCTTTTCCACAGATCTTAATTTCAATCAAGGGTCTCAGTTTCCAGCTCTCCTCTAACTACCTGGCTATACAGAACACACTGTTTTTGCAAGAATGTGTTGTCCCAAACACAGGCTGACTGAAAAGGGAGACATGCATTTCTAAGCCTCTTCTCAGATCTATTATGGTAGAATAGAATCACAGAATGTCTGGACTGGAAGGGACCTCCAAAGCTCATCTAGTCCAACCCCCCTGCCATAAGCAAGGACATCTCCAACTAGATCAAGCTACTCAGAGCCTCATCAAGCCTGACCTTGAATGTCTCCAGGGATGGGGCCTCCACCACCAGTCTGGGCAACCTATTCCAGGGATCTATCACCTTCATACTGAAGAGCTTTTTCCTAACGTCTAACCCAAATCTCCCCTTTTCTAGCTTAAAGCCATTACCCCTTGTCCTGTTACTCCAAACCCTTGTAAATAGACCCTTCCCTGCTTTCTTGTAGGCCCCTTGCAGGTACTGGAAGGTCACTATAAGGTCCCCCCAGAGCCTCCTCTTTTCCAGGCTGAACAACCCCAACTCTCACAGCAGAGCTGCTCCAGCCCTCTGATCATTTTTGTGGCTCTCTGCTGAACACATTCCAACAGCTCCACATCCTTCTAGTGCTGAGGGCTCCAAAGCTGGACACAGGGCTCCAGGTGAGGTCTCACCAGGGCAGAGCAGAGGGGCAGGATCACCTCTCTCCATCTGCTGGCCATGCTTCTTTTGATGCAGCCCAGGATTCCACTGGCCTTCTGGGCTGCTGCTGCACATTGGAGGCTCATGTCCAGCTTCTCATTTACTAGCACTCCCAAGTCTTTTTCCAATGGAGTGCTTTCATCTCCTCTCCCACCCTGTATTGGTAATGTTGGTTGCCCCTCCCACGGTCTAGGACCCTGCACTTGGTCTTGTTGAACTTCATGAGGTTCACCTGAGCCCACCTCTCCAGCCTGTCCAAGTCCCTCTGGATGGCCTCC